TTAGTGGAACATAGATTGGCTTAAAGCATGATTGCATTGTTGCACGCTGATTGGCTCTTTCGTATCCACCAATCAACGCTAGCTGATACTGAAAGAACATTCTAGAGTCTTCTCATGTAAGAAACTATAAATATACTAACGTTTCGGACTTCTTTGACTTCTTTCTAACCTTGTTATTAGAATATAATCGATTTCTTGTAGAACGGTGTTCTGATTTTCCGAGAACATCTCGAGTGAATTGCTATTCGAGAATACAAAGCATTAGGAATAGCTGGGTTATAAGAAAGAGAGAATTATAATAGTATCATTAGGAAAAATAAACATCATTGTGTCACTGTTGTTCCATCCTGGAATGACTACAGTAATAATGACTGTTGTAACGAAGCATGTAAACACGTCATTTTGATATGCTTGGATTATTATTACGAGTTTACCTTAGTCGGGAAACAAGAGCCAGGATCGAGAATCCGGTGACACGACATTGCTACTCTAATCCGATTGTCCTAAACCCCCATTGAGTGAAAGAAGAAGACTTGATATGAAGTAGAACCTGTGCTCTACAAGCATCCAGAAAGTACGAGGTCCGAGGGCAGAAGAGAATCAGGATCTCGGACTAGGGATCCGGGTCCTGGTCCTGGTCCTGGTCATAAAACGTTACAGATAATGCGTATTTATACAGTTTAGTAGAATAGGAAATAATATTGAAATCTGTGACATTAATAGTCAGGACGACCAATAAGAAACAACATTGAAGTACGTGACATTGATAGCAAGTTACACATTTTTAAAACCGTGAATCGATCAAGGTTAGACCACCATTAGAAACCCACAAGCACTTGACGGCCGTTTCGTCCTGGTATGGGACTCCTCAGCAGTGCGCATCCACGACTCCTGCACCCTGCAGGATTCGAACCCACGACCTTCGGTATTGTAGGCGATCGTCTAACCATCGGACCACTGAGCCGGTATCTAACGGTGTTAATGTCTAACTTGATCAATTCACGAAGTTGCGCAACCTCATACACAGTCTTCGGTAGTAGTTACTGTCTACACACGAACAGGTTGAACTTCACTGGTCACGTCTTCCCACCACCAGAACTCATGGGAGAAGATTCCTCACCAAGCTAGTCGTCGTCACTAGTGAGCACAGGTAATTTGCATTACGGGGTTGTGAAGATTGTTAAGTTACACATTTTTGAAACCATTGATAGCAAGGATGACTATAATATTGACCAGTATGAAATAACCAATAGGAATAGACCAATAATTCTCTTAGGATATTGAATGAATAGTGAATAGTGTCAAGTTTCAAATTGAACATTTAACCGCATAGAACTACTGAATCGATTTATATATATCCAGTGCAGTACAATTACAACTTTTAGCAGTATGTCATATAGCAAGCATTAAGATAAAATTCTCTGAATTCCATGTTAGTTAAAATGAATGATTAAAAGAGTTTCACTTTCAACACATTTCAAATTCTACCAATCACAAAACTTCACACTTAGAAATCATCATCCATTGGTCAATTATTATTATTGATTAATTAATTAAAAATTTTTTACTTACTTGAGCTGGACTCATCTCGGCCATAACAAATAGATTAAATATATTGGAACATTCCAATGCTAATAAATGTTCAAAATATTGACATGATTTTTTATAAAATAAATTTTGATATTTAGCCTAGAAAAAACAGAAAAAAATTTAAAAAGATAGAAAAGATAAGAGGAAGAAATATTTGATATAATGATCAATTATCATTATGTGGTGGTGTGAGCTACTTATAAGTAGTGTATGACGTGAGTGTCAACGTAATGTCTGGTTGTAGCAGAAAT